GTGATCGGGGCTTTGTCGAGGTGTTTTCGGGAGGAATGGGTTCCTCCGAGACATCACCTCCATCTCTCCGGCAGGGAGTGAGGATAGTCCCTCCGGATAATAGCGTCACCGTAGAGGAGGTGTTGCTGGCTGTCGGTGAGCAGGTAGAACACGATAAACTCTCCTTTGCATCGAGAATGAACAAAGCAGTGGTTGTGTTCCTGAAAGAAGAGCCTCATGTCTACCAGCTGACCGAGAGCAGCGTGTTCATCAGGTACGCATTTGCGCAGGTTTCCCCGCTGTCAGCTCCCTCCATGCGGATCACCGTGTCCGGTGTTCCGCCGTTTATCCCGAACAAGCTGTTAGAAAAAAGAGCTCCGGAGGTTCGGGAAATTTGCTAGTGGATAAAAAACAGTGAGTTTGGGATGTAAAGATCCTAAACTGAAGCACCTTCAGTCCCCGAGGCGGCTGGTGTTCATTTTTCTGGACTCACCGACTCAAACACTGGAGGTGTCCTTCAGAGTGAAGCACGGAGGAGGCTCCTACATGGTGTACGCCAGCTCAGGACAGCTCAAGTGTTTTGAGTGTGTAGATGTGTGACACAAACGTTTTGCCTGTCCGCATAGAAAGCAGGCCGGCTCTGCAGGCACAGCCACCGGGGCCAAGCTGTGGTCGAACCTACGGCTGGTGGACCTGTGATCGAACCTACAGCCAGTGGGCCTGCGGCCGGGCTCGCAGGTGCGGTGGAAGATTGCGGTATTGCGGGGGCAGCGGCTGGTGCCACTGTCTCACAGTTAAAACATAAGGACAAGGACAAGAAAGTGCAGAGCCAAGCTGAGGATCAACAGGCTTCTGTTGCAGAGAACAGCAGCTCTCAGACTGTACAACCCCAGGAAGCAGCCTCCACAAGTGTTGGAGGCAGAAATGAAGAACACAGTGTGTCTAGTAGTCATGTGTCATGTGGAGAGGACATGGATTATGACACTGAGTCAGACAGAATCCGTTAGTGGAAGCCCCAATAAAAACACAGATCTATACTCGCTGGAAGAAATAAACTCATTTCTAGATCAAACTTTTAAAAAAATCTGTCAAACTAAGCGATTACTTCAGCCACCAAATTCATCAAATCAGTTGACATACTTACAAAACTGGTCGGCTTCGACCTCTTGGATGAGAGGAAGCGTTTTCGCCTAAAAAAACATTTTAGGTGAAAACATATTATGCAATATGACCTTTTTGTGCTTTTCGAAGAAGAGTGATCTTCACTTCGAAAAGCACAAAAAGGTCAAATTGTTAAAAAGACTAAAGTAAATGGTCATGTACCTCAGTGTTTTTTTCACTGTACTGTTTTTCCCCAGAGCCTCAAAATAGGGTCGCTAAACATTAACGGTGGAAGAGATTGGCAAAAACGGGCTTTAATATCTGAAGTCTCGACTCAACAAAAGGTCCATGAGTTGTTTCTGCAGGAGACACACACGGTGTTAAGTGGAGCTTCTAATGACGACCAAGACACGTCTGGTTTTGAACGGTACACTTTGCTTCCTGAGTATTACAACTGTTACAGTGAACATGTCGGGTGCTCTTGCACCCGACATGTGGGTTTTCTCTTACCATCATCATTGTTGTCGTGAAGAAGCACGTATCATGCTACTTCCTGTCTCTTCACAGTAAAATCACTTCCGTTTTCATGCTCTTCACAATAAAAGTAAACATGCAATCAAACAATTTACAACACGGTGCCATCAGATGAGGTAGACTGGGGCTTATGAGAGCTCAATATTCTGCTTTGTCAATATTTATGCATCAAACCAGGGAAGAGAAAGAGTGTTGTTGTTTTTTCAACATACTGGACAATGAACTAACTGCACTTTGGACTTTACTGTAGACAGGACCGGTGAGGAACCACATCCACAATGATCTCACAGCATTAACAGTGTCATCACACATCTGGACCTGCTAGACGCATGGAGAACCAAACATCCACAGTCCAGACAGTACACATGGGTGAGGGTCAACAATAACAGGGTGAGTGCAGCCAGATTAGACCAGATATACATTTCACAGGGTCTCAGCTCCAGATTGCTCCACAGTAGCATCAGTCCAGTTGGCTTCAGTGACCACCACATCATCACCATAGAGTTCATCATTTCACCAGGTAGGGTTAGGGTTAGGGTTAGGGTTAGTACACCTCCCATTCCACCGCTAAGATCGAGGCAGTAGTCCAGGAGCTGGAGGCCAACATCAGGGATATTGAGGAGGGGCTACACCGAGACCAAGATCCTGCAACTGGGTCAACTGCTACAGGAGAAGAGGTTGGAGTTGAGCTCCTTCCTGCAGGAGAGGGTGAAGGGAGCTCTGGTTAGGTCTCGCTTCCTCCAGCTGAAGGACTTGGATGCCCCAAGCTCTTTCTTCTTCAACCTGGAGAGATCGGTGGCACAGAGGAAGCAGATGACTGGCCTTAGGCTTCCAGGAGGCAGGGTGACCACCAGTCCGGGCAAGATGAGGAACCATGCCATGGAGTTTTACGCTGACGTCTTTGGGGCAGAGTAGTGTAGCATGGAGTGTCGGCAGGAGCTCTTGCAGGGGCTTCCTCAGCTCAGCCCGGAGGAGAAAGCTGCTCTGGATTTTGGGCTGACTCTGGAGGATTTGACGGTTGCTGTCAATCAGATGGCATCGGGAAGGGCACCAGAGATTTTGCATTCCATGTGATCTCTCTGCTGACTTTCACAAACGCTTCTGGAATACACTTGGACATGACTTACATCGTGTTCTTTTGGAGTGTTACGAAACTGGATCTCTTCCTGTCTCCTGTCAGCGAGCGGTGCTTTCCCTGCTTCCAAAGAAAGGAAACCTGGCGTTTCTCAGGAACTGGAGGCCGGTGGCCCTCCTCTGTACTGACTATAAGGTGCTTTCCAAAGCCTTATCAAATGGACTCAAGGACAACCTGGACTTAGTGGTACATTCAGACCAAACATATTGTGTACCTGACAGGACAATCATGGACAACATTTTCCTCATGAGACACTTTGAATTTGTGCAGGACAAATAATGTAAACTTTGGTGTTGTGTCATTGGATCAGGAGAAAGCCTTTGACAGGGTGGATCACTCATATCTGTTTTATGCACTTAGGGCTTTTGTTTTTGGTGATGGTTTTCTGGCTTGGGTTGGATTATTGTACAGTGATGCTCAATGTATGGTGAAGACGGGGACAGGGCTGAGTCGACCAATCCCTGTACAGTGAGGGATAAGACAGGGTTGTCCTATTTCAGGTCAAACATATAGCTTAGCTATTGAGCCCTTGCTGTGCAGGTTGAGAGGCTGACTCAGCGGCCTCTCACTGCCGGGGTCCTCCAGTCTTGATCGTCCTCCTATTGTATTTGCTTATGCAGATGATATACAGTATGTGTTTTAGTCTTTAGTCAGAAGGACGTTCAATGTTTACAGGGTACCTTATTTTATGAAAAGGCATCATCTGTACGGGTGAACTGGGCCAAGACTGAAGCCTTGTTAGTGGGACAGTGGAGGGACGGGCAGCACCCAGTCTGCGACTTGAGTGGGGGAAAGAGGGACTGAAAGTCCTGGGAGTTTTTTTGGGCACCGAAGGCTTCCAAGCAAAGAACTGGGAGGGAGTGAAGGAGAAAGCGTGCGCTTGGTTGTCTAAATGGAAATGGTTGCCACCTCAGTTGTCGTATAGAGGAAGAGTTCTGGTTACCAAAAACTTGGTCACCTTGACTCTTTGGCACAAACTCATTGCTCCGACGCCACCAAGAGGCCTGATGGAGGACATCCAGAGAGCCACCTTAAACTTTTTCTGGTCTGGCAAGCACTGGGTCCAGACAGCAGCTCTGTACCTGCCTGTTGATGAAGGAGGGCATGGATTGAATGACATCCAGTCCAAAATTGCCTCCTTTAGACTCCGGACAGCTCAAAGACTGCTTTACAACTGTGGCCCAAGCTGGCTCGGCACAGCTCGACTGCTGCTGAGAGCTGGGCGGTTGGGCTACGACAAGCAGCTGTTCCTCCTGCAACCAGAGACTTTGGACCAGGGGTCACCAACCTTTTTTTAAACTGAGAGCTACTTCAAAGGTACCGAGTAGTATGAAGGGCTACTTATTTGATACAAACTTCCTGAATAACAAAGTTGCACAGATCACCTTAATAATAATAATATATGTGAAGAGACTGTTTGATCACATGTCAGTTAATTATTCCTCACAATAATTATTAATAATGATTTCCACAACAATGATGGTATAGCTACACATACATATTTAAACATGCAACTTTTATTTCTGTTAATCTGTTTCAACATTTGAAAGTCAGAGGTATCACATCTCTGATATTTTTGTATCATCACATGATCAAAGCCGGTTACTTTTGCACATAGTGCCTGCTGGTGAATGATGCAGTGGTAATGTAGACATTTTGCGAAGTCTGGGTCACCTTTGCATTGCGCAATGAAGCCTGCATGCCGGCCCGTCATCGCGGGAGCCCCGTCTGTTGTCACCGACACCAGCTTTTCCAATGCTACCTTTTTCTCCACGAAGAAACTAGTAAAAAGTCTGGTCTATAGCCGAGCGGGGGATCCAACCCTCCGAGGCGTTCAAACCTCTAGTCCGAGGTTCCAGCAGTGTGGAGTTCCAGCAGAGTGGAGCTGGTACTGGTTCTGAAGGGACTGCTGAAAGCCAGACTGAGGGTGGAATACACTTGGTACCAAATAATGAATAATGTGACGGCTTTCAGCCGCATTTGGGCTGTTGGGCGGGTTTTATGCTCCTTGGGGAGGAGGGAGAGCTGATTGTTCGTATGATAAGTTGATATTTTTCTGTGCTTGGATGAGTTATTTATTTTTCTAGGCTGAGCTGATGATGTGACAGTGATCTGGTGTCTCCTTGCAGTGGATCAATAATGGGACTCTTTTTCACTTCTCTTCACTTCACTAGCTGTTGTTGTTCTCCCTCTTTCTGCATGTTGACTTTAACCCTCTCCTTGTGTCTCCTTGTGCCTTGCTGCCGGGCAGAGGAACGCAGGATGAAGAGAAAGACGAGAGGTCTGTCCTTCTATGTGTCCACTGCCCTAAAAAATGAACTAGTCAAACTAAGATGAATCCAGGTGGAGAGGAGGAGAAAGGCAGATGCTTTGAGATTGTATCTGAAGGGGACAGACAGTTAAAGAGAGTTATTGTCTGTTTCTGTCTGGTGATAAGAAGAGCAGCATTATCTGACATGTAAGAAATGTGGTTACGTGATGCATTGGAATATTATGTGTATTTAATGCTTCTCTTTATGGTCAGAGTCTGAACATAACGAGCTTTATTAAGAATTTACACATCTAGCCAAACCAAGTAGCTCTTTGACTTTCAGGGCTAACCAGCAGCCAGCAGCCAGACAAACAGTTAACCGCTGTCTCATTAGCATACTTAAGAGGAAGAGGAGACACAGCAAAGCTTTTACTCTGAAAATCATACGGAACAATAATATAGTTTGTAGCCCTGTTAGCCTGAAGCATGCCACCAGAATAATTACAAGTTTTAACATTTGTTTAACCATAATCAATGAATACATTCAAAAACATAATCTGACCGTAGGATAAGTATCATGATGCAGGGTTTACCATTCAATATATTGTGAAGAAAATCCTACTTTTAAGAAATCTGTCATAGTATTAAAAACACATATTTTAAAGTTAATATTTAAATACATATCAGAACACTGTGATCTGCATATTAATGTGTCACAGTTCCTGTAACATCCAACATCATAGCACTCCTTTGAGAGGGCACATCTCTTTGTAATGAAATCAAGTATTGAGTTAGTCTTGAGCATCATGTTGGGGGGGGGGCGGGGGGCATTCACATTCCTGCAGAGGGCTGGTGGTGCCAAGAAATGTAGCAATGGGACAATAAAGGCAGTGACGGAGACTCAATCTACAAATCTACTTTGCAAATGTTTGCTGTAGGGACATACAGTATAAAGTATAATAAAGTCTTATTGGCCATCAAGGATGCACACCATGTGATAAGTTCAGAGACGGTGCATGTGAACATAACTTGGTGACGAGAAACGTTCACAGGGAACCATTTAAAAGAGAAACTGTGAACGTTGAAGCTTCAAACAAATGAATTCCAAGTTATACAATATAATACAAAATTAAAAGTAAATTGAATATCAAAACACAATTGAAACTGAATATCACAATTTTAGAATTCAATCATTATTTAAGTATTTAAGACAGAATAATAACAAAGAAGTTAAATAGCAAATTGAATAATGTTGTGAAAACGTTTGCACATTAGTTTATTAATGCATAATTTAAAGGAAAATTTGATGAATCAATTCATAGCATTTACAAATGCATGAATGTATTTAATTGATTGTAATCAAGTCTATGATTATGGCGATGGCACACTTCTAAACGCCATAGTTTCCAAGATGACCTCCAATAAGACCACGAGACGCGTTCTCCTCTTCAGCTCTGATGCCTGAGAGACAGAACGGACGTGAAGCAGAAGCAGCTTCTAGAACGTGAGCAGCATACAGAGCTGAGGGAGGTGCTGAGAGGTGTGATGGATGACGGACACACAGTGATTACGAGGGGCCGCACTAGAGAGCAGCTCGGTGGTCGGCCCTGTGGTGAGGGGGGAGTCGCCCTGCCTCTCATTCAGTCTGAAGATGCGCTCTAGTGAGCAGTGATAGGAGAGTCTCTAATGGTAACCCCCCCCCCCCCTGTCTGGAGGACAGGAGTCTAGTGTGACACTGTGCTGTGTATAAATGAATAGATAAATCATTCCCCATCATTAGCGTTATAGATAGGAAATGGTTTGCTTGTAATTATTATTGGACTACTGTGTGTGATGAATGTGTTTGAATAGATTTATGTTGATTAGATTTATGAGTTCCTCGCTGGTTTCTCTCACCATATTTTCATCTTTCTTGGTTGGGCTTCTGTTGACATGCTGTTGATTAATGCAGATATTCTATCATGCTGCTGTTGAAATGATGCTGGTGTGAGTGAAAGCCCCCCCACAGTTCATATCTTGACCTTGTGTAATGTCTGGGATGGTATGTATTCATATCTGGAGCAGGAGGCGGAGGCGGTGTGAAGGTCTTCTCTGCCTCTTCACAGCTCACTGCATGTTCACACCATTAATCCTCTTGCATGTGAGATCTCTTCTCTCTCTGCCTCCATCTGCATGTTCCCTTTGCTGTCTCTTTTTACCGTCTTTGCACGCTTCTATGTTTCCACTGCAGATTGATTGCAGGCATATTCTGAACATGCAATAATATCCACGTTAAACAGCTTATTCATTCCTGCCAAATAAACTGTAAGTAATGTGATGTTATGTTTCGATATTATCGAAGTGTTTCTGCTGTATTGTAGAGCCAAATGTACACCAACATTCTTTTACCTATTTTATTTTCTAGGGCCACCAGGGGGCAGCGCCGACCAAACAGAAAAAATTGACATATTATTACCTTGTAATTGTGCTATAGACTATAGAGAGTCCCGCCTCCCGATGCCCAGCATGGGACCGTATTTGGTCAAAGATTTGTATTGTAGTCAAGGGTGAGAAACAAAAAACTTTTTGATCCTGTTTGAATTGTGCCATGAATTACACACACGTTTGTCAATTAGAATAATAATTCTGCACATCAAGAAAGTTGTATTTTGGTGTAAAACTGTAGAAATATATGAGGTATAAGTGAAAATACCCTAAAGTGGCGTAAGTGACTTGTGAAGCTGCGATGCCTCCGATGTGTTTAGTACCAGGATGTACTCACACCTACAGCAGGTCTGGCTCTGATCAACAGAGTCACTGGATTCAACACATCAGCTGAGAGAACTCTACATGGGCATGGCTACGTTAGCTCGCTCGCTAGCAAGCCAAGCTACCGTCTGTAGTTGGTGACGTTGTGCGAGACGAGAGATGTTCACTGATCACGTTCATACTAAACTAAATGATACGACAAGTCTACCACGAGCTGCCACTTTCCTGACAAACATCATATGTGTAATTCATGGCATTATTCAAAAAGGCAGAGATCAAAAATATGTGTTTTCCCATTGACTGCTGTATATATTTCTTTCTGACATGAGCTCCCATGGCGGGAGGGCCTGACTGGGCACCTCTAAGGTGAACGGGTTAGCTAACATCTCCACAGCCTGTAGACACCAGCATGCATTTAACGATTATGTTTGTGTCCACCAAATGAAGTTAAGTCCATATTTAGCTTTTCAGCTAAATAGTTGTTATCTTTGGTCTTGACTTCCTGAGGGAAATATCTTGCTCTTCAGCTGCTGAAGTCTTCACTGTCTCTACCTGCTGCTCTCTGGTTGTGTCTGTGTGCTGCTTGATTCGGGGCAGTTACTGCACAGCTGGTTTATTACAGATGTTTGAGCTGAAAAGAGTTGCCTGCCACTACTGGAAATGAGGTTGATGAGAGAGGAGCCATGAGCTGAAGAACCCTATTTAAACACTCTGTAGATCTACTGGAGTCATGTGGTGACTCTGTGTGTCAGGTGGAAATGAACCCACATAGTCATTTACCCAACATGAAATATTGATTAGTGCAGCCTCAGGTCTTTAAGGCCATGTTTCACATTTAGAACCCGTCCACAGGGGGTGGGGGGGGCTTTCAAAGAGTGTTCTAGAGAAGAGATGAAAGCAGAGGATGCACATGAGATCTAATGAAAGTGTGATCAACACAGAAGCTCCTCAAGATCTCATCACAGGATGATGTGCTGATTGGGAGAGTTAGTTTTACAGTAGATTCACTCGGTGAAGTAAGAAAGTGCTGCTGGTTATTAATCTGAATATGAGTTGTATTTGTGGCATAAATACAATACGACCACATCCTCCCTGAAGCCGCTTTGTTTGACCTTCGTGCTGTTGGAGCAAATCAACGCTTTTCATCCATTTGTTACTATTGATGACTGTTTGTGAATGAATCACTCGTGTTTTATTCTTTTGCTGTTGGCTGATTAATGTGTTTTTTTATTCTTTTGTGTGTTTATGTGTAGTGGAATCTGTGTTGTTGCATCATGAGCAGCTCAGGGGTGGATGTCATGGATTTCTTTAGCTGGACAGTAAAACAGATTTTTAACCTCAAAAGCTTTCAGACTAGCGGAAAGTTGTCCAACAGGTTGTAGATTGATGTGAAGGCACTGCTGTGTGTGGTGTGGCTGCTGAACGTCAGCATGATATTCATGTTGACACCCACCCCTGGCCTGTTCCTGTGGAGGAGCTCAAGGCCAAACGGAGCCTGACTCTGACTGTGCGTGTGCTGCAGGGAGAAGTGGTGTCACATGACGCAGGAGGAGAGGGACGACAGCTCCAAAATCGATGAGAACATCGCCTTCGGCCAGCTGGGGTGAGGAAGCTGCACATCAAATACTATGATGTTATGTGTAAATCTGAAAATACGTCAAGTTTAAACAGGCAGATGTTGACAAATGGTGATATTGGTTTCTGTTCTTGTTCTAAGGGTTCACTTAACATGATGATGATGTAAATATGTACGTCTATATTTAGATGTAACAGACAGAACTGGCAGAACAGTCTTTGTGCCTAGATGTTTAGACAGATCATTTTACAAAAGGTATTATAGTGTTTAAAGAGTGCAAGTTATTATGAATATGCTCAAGACATATTGTAGTGTTGTTATTGGCGCAGGACATTTACCAACAGACGGTTAGTGTGATCAGCCTCCTAGTGGTTAAACAAGCTCATGCTCCCAATAATAGCAATGATATGTATATGACATATACTTTTGTTTCATTGAATTTAAATGAATTTTGTGAAGAAGGTTCGTGCTACAAGATCTGTATGTCTGTGTTCCAGGGACTGTGGATAACATCCGCTTTAATGCAACCATAGAATCTGTGCTTCTACACATTACTCCTGAATGAATAGACTGAGCATGGAGCAGAATATGAACCTGAGAGTCCATAAGTACGCTGTATTAAAGAGTAAATACGGAGATCCATTTGTTATCGGACCACACACTGTTTCTTTTGTTATGTTTTGAGTTGTTGAGTTTGGGGCGACTGTGGCTCAGGGTAGAGCGGGTCGTCCTTCAATCAGAGGATCGGCGGTTCAATCCCCGGCTCTGCTAGTCCATGTGTCCTTGTGCAAGACACCTAACCCCAAAATATTTCCCCCAGGCTGTTCCTGTATGAGCGGTGTATGAATGATTACAAGTGGCAGCAGTGTGTGAATGATGATGATGTAGTGTTGAAGTGCTTTGAGCGGTCAGAAGACGAGAGAAGAACGATACGAGTAGAGTCCGTTTACTGGGTTTCTGTTTCCTGTTGTAAATGGTAAACACAGAACATTTGTCCTGAGATGAGCTTTGTGTTTTCAGGACCTTCACTCATAACATGCTGGCTTTTGGGCTCAGTAAGAAGCTGTGCAATGACTTCCTGAAGAAGCAGGCAGTCATTGGGAACCTGAATGAAGGTAAAGCATTAAAGAACACACTCTGCTCTCAGCCCATTCATTATTCATTAACTCACTAACTCACTGTGCAAGCTGAAGGTTCTCCACTAGGGACCGCTGTTCAACCCCTGTCCACTACAGGCCTGTCTATCGCTCCTCAAGAGAAGAACATACTAGCAGCAGGAGTTTGGACCTGCAGATATGTAGACATGTCAATGTCATGAAGGTATAAACTGCTGCAATGTGAGGACCATTGCCACCTGCAGTCAATGAGCAGCAGCAGCAGCAGCAGCAGCAGAAGAAGCATTTTGAGGATTGGCAGTTAAATTTGCCATTTACTTCAGAACGCTGACTTTACCCTCCTGGCTGGTTTTATAGCAAAGAGTGCAAAGTGACCAGAGAGGGAGTGTGTTGGTGACACCTGGTGTTTACATGCGTCTCTGGATCCCGAGGTGATGCAGGTGTGAATGCACACCAAGTATGTTGTAGTCACAATTTGATCGGATCGGCCAGACCAATCTGGAAGTGCCTGGCTTTGGGATCAGAGTGTAAATATGTTTCTACAGTGTGTCTATCATTATATGTTATTGATAGCAGTGCATCAAATGGTAATGTGGACTCAACCTACGCAGGATTATCGCCCGACTCTGCTCTACGGAGCGTTCTAGTGAGTTTCAGCTCTGGGTTTAGCTGTCCGCCCTCAGCTCTACTGGTTTGGATCACTGCCCGCTCTCAGAGAAGAGGCTGTAAAGAGCCACCGGGCACTTCCTGCTCGACTGCAGGCAGACAAAGAAGCTAATGAAACCAGACCGTGAATATTGGACTTTATATCCATCAGATGGACCCAAATAAACAATACTGTTTCTTAGTGACTGCTGCTTGTGTGACTAAGCAACTATTTGCTAACAACCTCAACTTAAAACATGAGATTTCAGTGTGCGTTCACTCAGACTCTTTCTGTTCTCTCATGCAAACAAGCGCTCCCTCTGCAAAAGAACAATAGGTAGAGTGAAGCTGACACAGAAACATCCAAGAGCCAGTGCTCCCAAGCCCCCCCGCTGGCTCTGGGTACAGTCCTACAGTAGTGACTCATTAGTCCAGTTCAGATTCAGACCCTGTGTGAAGAACCGTTGAACCCCGGCCAGCATCATCCAACAAGCTGTGTTGGCTCATCAAACACATACAGACGCACTTTACTGTAGATGACCTTGTCTTGTGAACACATTTTCACTGTGTACCTTGCAGTCGTCGTGATGAAAGTTGAAACAGTTGAGCCATGATAACTTCCCAGAGGACGTAGCCGGTATCCCACGGACGCTTGAACTGTCTCCGTCTGTCATGTGACCCTTGTCTTGCACATTAGTCTCCCACATCGCATCCTTGACAAAGATGTTTGTTACGGGTCTGCGAGCTCCATCTACTTCATTTGCATATTGAGAAAAAATGAAATGGGAACAAATATCGTGTGTGTGTGTGTGTGTGTGTGTGTGTGTGTGTGTGTGTGTGTGCGCGCGTGTGTGTGTGTGCCCTTGCAGAACAGTACAAGCTGCTGAGTGACCACATACAGAAAATGGCGGCAGAGTGAGGTTGTCGACGACGCTGCATTTCAAAGTCTCCACGTAACGGACTGACGGCACACATCAGCTATTTCTTTGCAACTCAATGCCACCGTGACTCTCTGTTTGGCTGTTGTTCATTTGTGTGGTGCACTGCTGTGTAGAGCAACATAACCTACTGTACTGAACTGTGCCATAGTTGTAGCAAACCCTGTTTATGTGACGTGGTCGTGCTCCTCTGCACCCTGTCCTATAGCTGCAATAATACAACATCATCAAGTGGTGCACACTGTAGTGTCTGTGACTGTCTGTAAGCTGTGTGACAAAGACCGTCCAGTATACAATCGCCTCAGTATGGCGTCACCAGATCTACACGGGATGTGTACATTATATTTCCTCCGTGCTGTTTTGTTCGGTGTTCCCCACATGTATTACATGTTAGTATCATACATTTAACATAAATGTCTGTATACAGTTCAAACCAGACTTGGCTATGATAGGACGTGATGACTCACAGGGTTTAACGTGCTGATGTCAGTCCTTTTCAATCACAAAGCCACTTCAGTTATTTACTGAATACTTTCTGTAACGCTGTCATATCCTATTTGGCAATGCAAAGAAAGATGAATTAGTGAGCTTTAGAGGTGCTGGGAGGCATGGATGGACGAGTGGACGGGCCTACTGCACACAGGCCCGGGGGCCCTCAGTGCCAGAGGCCCCCCTGTCCCTCATCTACAAAATGTCAATCAAAGACCAGGAGACTCAAAAGGACCACAAAGAAACATTAAAATGACGACAAAGAGATACAAAACCATAACTCTGAAGTCTGTGTGTTGCTCTTATGTAGTGCTGGGGCCTTCTGCATGTCCCTGCCCAGGGGCCCATTGTCTCATAGTGGTGGTGGACATTGTACCTCTGGACAGGCTAACTGGTTACTCCTGCTTCCAGCCTTTAATGCTAAGCTAACACACTGGTATCATTCTTCTCAACAAGAAGAAAAAGCAGCAAAGTCTTCCTTCTGATTTCAGTCATGTTTCCTCCGGCCCACATTTACAATCTAGCCGTATTCATTTGATCTTCTTTAATCAGACACTTAATAATCTCCTGGGAACACTGGAGAGCACTCATCTATCCAGAGTGCCTTCCATGAACGTTAACGTGTTGATCCTCTGATGCTGTAACTCTATTGGCCAACCAACCACTGAAGCAGAGCCTGCAGTGATCTCTCTTACTCGTGCCCTGCTAGATATAAATGGTAATAACTTTGGTTGTATTGCTGTCTGTGTTGTCAGTGACCTGAGTCGTGTCAGTTCATTGTCCTTTGGTTGAGCTGTAATGATGCGTAGCTAAGCATGTTGCCTGCACGGCCCAGCATACTCGTGAGTTCCTCTCCTGCTGCATATGTGTCTGTATATCTCTCTACATGTGCAAACTGCATCAAGCTAATGTAAAGTGAGTGACTGAACTGTGAAGTGACATTAGCTAGTTGTATTACTTCCTCCGACCACTGCGGGGCAGCATCGCGTCTTCATTCACAGCTCCTCAGTGAGAGATTCCTGCTCAGCTTCACTCTGGAGAACAGATCAATGTGTGTTTCTAAATGATGACTTCTACATCTCAATGCTGGCATGATCCATCCAAGTTTAGATCGATGTTCTCCTTTGATCTCCTGTGCTGATGAAGTCGTTCTGTAAATACTGTACATATTCCTCTGTATATTGTAAGAATTGATCACGTGCTGCTGCTGCTTGTGAATTATATATCTGTAAATGTATAAACAATAGATGTAACTGTGCCCGCCGTGTCCTTGAGGAACATACATGTGTGACTGTCCCTCTGCTGTAAGCCTTTGAAACCAAACACCCTTCATCCCTTCTGGCTTGGTTGACGTATTGACCTGTATATGTTGTACCTGTTGGCTCAGCATGAGCCATTTGCACTACATTTAGTGTGAGCATGTGCGCCCTCTCATCCTCTGGATGATACTGCACTGATGCCTGTTCTCTTTGTTCTGCGCTCTGTCTCCAGCATATCTGTTAAATGGATGAAAAGACCGTTTGAAGCGTGTTGACTTTGTCTCAATTATCAAGCAAGTGACATTTGTCATTAAAGTAGTACAGTAAGTTTTTATGGGATTGCCCTTTTGATGAATCATGTGATGACAATGTGGTCTCCAGATCCACGTGTCCCAGTTGCTGGTTAGTTCGGGGGTTCCATGCTAACGGTTCAGCACTTCCAGAGTTATTTATTCCTCGTTGGATTACTACTCACTCTCATGAGGCTCACTTACGCTGGACAACCAGAAGAGAAGTTGATGTGAATTTAAGTAACTTCCAAAACAGAACTGCCATTGACTGAAGATGAACTGAGATGAAGTACCTGGTTTAGCTCCAGAGCTGTCTGGCACACTGTGAGTTGTCTAGATATCAGCCTCGGACGCCTTAGAGACGTCTGCCTTCTCTCCGATGTAATGGGACTATGTGGCACCCCAAGCGCCAAAAGTGTCATTTTTAAAAACTCAACAGCAATGTCTCCAGAGATCATGAGCCGGTTCCTCAAGATAATCCTCAGAGCTTGTTGTGAGCAGTTTCATGTGGGAGCTATGCATGCTCAGGGTCTGATTAAAGCTGTATACTATCACGTTGGCTGCATGGAGACCTGATCGACTGGCAACAAACACATTAATATCAATGTGCACGTTGTCATTACTCTAAAGCTGACTGATGAAGTCTGGGGGATCTGCTCTGGTCTCATCTGCTGTACCTGTGAACGTGTCGAATCAAGATGTTAGCCGTTTTATTGTGCTATGCTTACGTTTGCCTGGACATGGTTCAAGTTGCTGATACTGAAATAAATGTATGTTTTGGATGTCTCTTGTTGTGAACTCTTCTTGGATCTGTGTAACGTGCTTCTGCTTACAGGGGAACTTTGGTCTTTTTCAATCTGAACCCTATTTTTTACATGTTTTTGTGTTTTAAGTGACTAATGGGGACAATTTGTGGAATGGGTCCAGAACACAGTGCAGATGGAAGCCGCTAAACAGGCGACAGTGTAGCGACTCCTCCAACATTAGGGAAAGAACCCGACAGAGAAATAAAGCCTTTCTCTTTACCTCTCGCTTGATCCGGTGTGTTAGCCATCTCTATAAACAGATGATGTATTCATAGCTAGAATCTGTGGGTCAAACATGGTTTGTATCTGGTGTTGTGGTTTCCGTTTGTAGTCCGTGTAGTATTGACCAATCACGTCCAACAGGTAACAGTCAGCGTGGAGAGCAAAAGGAACAGAACGCATGAACCAAGATGTAATGTGGGAACCCACCTGCTGTCACCTGAGAGTGATTCAGCTTTTTATTGGTTTAAAATGAGCTCACAAACTGGCTACTTGTGAAACAACACGGTGGTACACGTTGTCTCTCCACTCTTGCCCCAGTCTCACACCTCTAGTTGCTGATCGGACCGTAAACAATCAGCAGCTCATGGATATAGGAATATTTGCTGGCTACACTGGAACCCCAGAAATATTTCCCTTTGCCCGTCATCAGACAGATAGCTGATGGGTTCTGAGATTGGTTTGTTATTTCCTGCTACGCTTTTTGTAATCCAACCCGAAAACTCTGACAACATGGCCGCTCTCGTCTCCAACAAACAGAATGCGAAAGGTAAAGACAAATGCTATATTTCTCTCGGGTTCTTTCATAATTTGTCAGACACTTCTAATCACAATCTGAGCCTGTCGGTGGTTACAACCAGCTCTTGGACGTACATTGACGGTGAGGAGTTTCCCCGAAAGATTACATCACAGCCTGTTGAGCGCCTGCTGTGTGCAGCTTTCTCTGGACCAATTAAACAAATGGTGGTCTCCATCGGTCACTAAGACACAAAAACATGTGAAAACAGGCTTCAGGTTGAAAAACAAAGTTACAATTGACTGTGTTGGCAAGTGTGACAAGATTAAGACCAATATTGTTTCTAGCCAAGACTGCTAACACATCTCGTGATTCTTTCCTCATTTCACCCTTTTTTAAAAGTGTATTTTTTTCCGATTAGATTTATATTTTTCTGCCATTATGGAAAAGCTTATGAAATGTAGTACTTCTACAATAATTATTAGAAGCAATGTAACTTTATTGATCTTTGGGAAGATATAGTTGTTGCAGCAGTAAAGACGATTCAGGCTGGAAAAAAGAGAAATGCCTTTAAAAATACTGCGTGCGTGTGCCAGAGAGCTTGTATATGTCTCAGTCAGTATGAGCCTGCTGATTGGGACCCTCTGTAGTCCAATGTGCTGCCCACACTCTGCCAGGTCCAGCTCTGTGTATAAATAAACAGCAGTCACGCTGGCTGCGCTCTGATTGGACACCACGTAATGAGCTGTGAAAGGCCGGTCAGCAGTGTCACACCATGAACACCCTCCTCCATCTAATTAGTACCAGACCTCAACACACAACACAGCCATGCAACATGGTGGCCACCGTTTGTCACCTCTCTCCCACGCCTCTAAATGCACATATTGAAATCTGCTCGTGTATTTGTAGAATTATTTATTTCAATAAGTTTTATTCTGCAGAAGTACTGTATGACCAAAAGATGCATGTTGCACATGTTGTGTTACTCTTTTTGTGTGTGTGTCCCTTTAGTCTTTATATTGCATTTATTCTGATTTATTTTTAAATTACAATTTCTGCATATATCCACAGTGTTCGTCATTATGTCAGCATTGTTGCTGGCTAGCAGCAGATATGAACCGTTGGTCGTTTCTACCGCAGGAACTTGCCCACAGGACCGAGAGCCTCTTTAGGGAGTCACTAACTTTACTCCTGCAGGTCCTTTCCATCTGCCGTTGCAGTTTTTGTAAAATAGCAGTTGTGTAGCATTGTGGAAAATGCTGGTGGTCTAAACAAAAGTGTTTGACAAAACAGCAAAGTTCAGTGCTGCAAACTCCTCTCACATACTTCCTCAGCTAGAAGGAACCGTCACACGGCTGAGGTGAGAGTTCCCGAGTTCCTAAAAAGGTTCAGGCCGTATCGTTTACACGGTATGTTCTGTATATGTGAGGGATACATTTTGGTGTGCTGTAATAATAATATCAATATTATCATTCTTTAGGATTGTCAAAGTGGTCTAACATCAGCTCTTCATCCTTCGTGATAAGGAGCATTTGTGCGAATATGCACGCACACACACACACAGTCAGTGATACTGACACACAGAAGGTTCACTGATGTATTTCACAGATGACACACATTGGCATTCTTACAACCCTCTGTACATACAAACATAACTATGATGCATTCACAGTCACGCCGACAATAACACATTCATTTGCACAAGACCAGCTGTGCAGTATAAATCTGAAGTGGTTTGTTTTACCTTAGATGCTCAAATTAAGTGTGTGTATGTTTGCATGTGTGTGTGTCCCATTGCAACATAATTCCTGCTTTGTGTGTGTGTGTGTGTGCGTGTGCGTGCGTGCGTGCGTGCGCGCGCACGCACGCACGCACGCACGCAGAGGGGGCAGTGGTCCTAAGTGAGCCTGTGATGCAGCTCCACTTCCTCCTGGATTAAGTGTTAAAGTCAGGGTGGTCCCAGTCTGGGGGTGGTAATCCTGCTGCTGTGTACAAGTCGTCCTGCCAGTGTCCGTATACACACACACACATATACACACGAGCCTCATGGGACCGAGGCTATTTATTTACAGTTTGTGAAAGCAAAGCTGCAGAAATGTTGAAGAGTTTTGATGAGAGCAGGACTCCAGCGGCCGGTCGGCCTCGTTGGTAAAGGGCAGAATGACGCCATCGTCTGCAGGGTTGGAAACACTCAGAACGCAGCTTTGACTGCAACAAACCTTTGTGAAACACGACATGCACTACCTGCATAACTACCATGTGCTTGTGTATTAAATATGCAGGAATAATATTGTTTGGGTTGAACATCCAACAAGTGGAGGAAAGTAAACTAACTAGTGAATATGAAAACAGAAAGGGTGAACCTTCTCTAAGGATGTCGATCTGTTTGTCATAATCTTAAAAGAAGGCTGACAAGCTTGAAGACACAACACATGAATGATTAAATACAGCTAGAGAAACATGCCTGAGCTAATTATGATTAACTGAGTTATAGATCTGAAATCATGATGAAAAGATATGAACTGCAGGGTGGCCTGATTCATGTTGAAGGGATCAGATAAACCCAATGATTGGATACAAATAAGAGGTAGGGATTTATGTTATGATAAAACAATAAATATAGTTGTATACAGTATACATGCTGTACATGCGTGTATGATTTAAGCCGATGGGGATTGATCCATGCCTCAGCCTGGTCAAACTGTCACCATGGAGCCCATACGGTCACTAGTTGCTCTCCCTGAATAAATATCAAATCTTTGGAAAAACAATAAAGTGATTTCAGAGGGAAGCAGACAGAAGGTCTACAGGATGTTTGAAGGAAAGATAGAAGCTAAAGCTTAGATCACAGTGTAAAAGTGAACACATCACCTGAGATGCACACAGAACACTTCACTCACTACAGTGTGCAGCATGTGTACACATTCAGTAGCTAGTGTAGCATAGAAGTGCTAACGCTAGTTACCATGTGCTAACATACTCTGCTAATGTTAGCGGCGCAGGTCTTTACGTATAAACGTAATGTTGTTGTATGAGGGTCCATGGAGTACGCTGGCTGATGCTGCGCTGTGATTGGCCAGTCTGAGGTAGAGGGCATTATGACGTGAGCTGTGAACTCTTCAACCACAGACTGGAGGTCTGGAGGGTAACACTTAAGTATTTCACAAGACATAAGTCCAAGGAAATAAACCGATTATTGTGTACCACAGTCGATTTCATCAGTTCTGTTGCTACTGTGACGACCCTGCCTGGACAGGAGCCTGGTGGGCGGAGTCGGGTTGTCAGGGAGATTCAGCTCACCTGTCTAGAGTCTAGACTCTAGACTCTAGAGTCTAGACTCACGATAGGCCGGTGGCCGTGAGCCAGTCTTCCTCTCCGCTGGCTTCCAGCCTGTTTGTTTTCACTTCCTCTCTCTTTAATTGTGTAAAATAAACATTTTTAGTTACAACTGTGTGTGTGGTCTCCACTGTTTTGTCCAGCCTTGAGCCACATTTGGACTTGTCTTGTGACCCGGTGCCGGATGAAAATAATGCCAATGGACAGTCAATGAGGATCCTTTTTTAATGCATTCACGTGGTCGTATTTAATATCCAAAAAGACCACTTTTGGAAGGTGGATGGGTCCAACAAACAGGACTTTCTGCCACGAGACTGGCGTTTTGTTGTCTAAACCTTACCTTTGTTTTCATGCCTAAACCGTACTTAGTTATTTATTTACGGGACAACATTACATTAAACCGTACTTAGTTGTTTTTCCAAAACCTAGTGATTTTGTTGTCTATAATCTAATTTCGTTTTAATGTAATGTTGTCCCATAAATAAATAACTAATGAAAGGTAAAGAGATGAATGTGGATGTAAATTAAAAAACTGATGGAATTGGATCTTCAGAGGAGACGTAGATTGTCGAGATCAGTTCAAACACAGGAATGAAACTTGTGGAAATGCCGTGCATACTTTTGAAAGCCATATATAAATACATAAACTATACATACTGTATATGCATGCAGCTGCCTTTGAATCATTTTTTAACAGATTCTTTTTTAAATTTCATTTCCCAGTCTGTGTTTACATTCTGCAATGTTCCCGTCACTCTTCTCATGTTTAATAATTAGTCACGTTTAAGTTGAAACCATTCAATGTATTAATTATGATCCCCTCATAGATATCGACTTTCAACTAGATGGTATTGAAGCCAAAGTACTTGGAGAATATAATATATGATATGTTTCATTGGGCCTTTAAA